GAATACTTTTGCACGTCGCATTTTTCAGTTTTTCATTTGTAAAAAATGTTTTGATTCATGTAAAATTTTGCTTCCACTTCACAATTGTATACCACTTTGTGTTGGTCTTTCACATTAAATTCCAGTGAAATATATTTATGTTTGTGGTTGTAATGTGACAAAATATGGAAAAGTTCAAGGGGTATGAATACTTTTGCAAACCACTGTAAATATATATTTATGCAATTCAAAAATATGCCAAAGCGTCACCACTTTTCTTTCACTTTTTAGTATTGTGGTGGATTTCAGTATTTTATATACTTGTTTCTTGCACTTAAATTTACAGTTTGCCTTCTATTGAATATTTGTCAAGTTCATTATGATAGATAGATAGATAGATAGATAGATAGATAGATAGATAGATAGATAGATAGATAGATAGATAGGTAATTATTTAACTTGAATTTGATTATAAAACATAACTGACCTGAAATAATAATGCCAGTACTTTTTATTAAGACTAGTTTATTTATTTTATTTTTGAATGAGTGCATCAAGCTGCCTAAATGCGTATTGGTGGATTTTTTTTTTCTTCTTTTCTTCATTCAATAATTCTTCTCTATGGGTAAAATAGGTCTTGTGCAGACAGCGGCTGTGATTGGTCGGCTCCTCCGCTGCCGGGGCCTGTTCGAAAGCACAACTCAGCTGCTCATTGGTCGGCTCCGTGTCTCGGGCGTTCCACCGAGGATTTCCCCGGTTGTGTCCGGGTAAGATGGCGTTGGAAGAACAGTGCTCGGCACCACCTCGATGGAAGGCCATATCTGTGACACACGTCGAGTTCCCTGAAGGTACGTCAACTTAGATTTGTTGCCTACTAAAACGCGTTTTTGTTAACACGCAGTATGTTTTCAAGCGACGTGTATATTTCGCTGCTACTGAATGGGCACAACCGTCAGCGCCTGCCAAATAGTGAGCTGCCGGTTTACATTGCAACCGGGGGGCTGCAAAATTGTGAGACGGCAACGCATGCGCAGTTTGTAGTAATGCTCACAATGAAGGCTAGCTAGCATCCTAGCTGTCTTAACATGGTCATTACTATTGTCTGGTAAAAACTAACGACTGCGCTATGCCCTGTGGAAATTATATGACAAACTTTAAACATTGCTAATCTCCCCATATGTTTACAGCTGGGCTAAAAAAATATATTTATATTCATCACGTGTAGCTTTGTTGCCTGCTAACGTGTTATTGGCCTTTTACATTGTAAACCACATACAGTACAGTCACCTAAATTGACGAGATCAATTAAATAATTGTGTGTGCTGGTTTCACGACCCTGTTCCTGCCTTGTCATACCAGCTTTTTTCTACCCTTTTTGTTTCAATCAGAGCAGATATAAAACTGTACGAGTTTGACACCACACAATGTGTGTAAACATCATCATGTCACTGTGTTTCAGGTGACCTGACGGGACGATTGTTGGCCTACATCAGTCTTCTACCCGTAGCTATTATTGTGGGGTTTGTCACACTCATAGTGTTCAAACGGGAACTGCACACGGTGAGTGGTGTTCGTGTCAGATTGTTGTGGTTTAGTTGCTTGTTGCTCTGTGCAAAGGTGTCAGTTGTATGTCAAACACAGCTCAAGAAGCAGAGCAGAAGTGTGACGGCTTATCTGACTGCCTTTCTTTTTTTAAACAACCAGATTTCCTTCTTTGGTGGCCTCCTCCTAAATGAAGGTGTGAACTGGCTGCTGAAGCAGATTTTCAGAGAGCCACGCCCTTGTGCAGGTGAGTGGAAAAGGCGAGCAGTTTTCTTTTAGCAGGGCTGGGAAACTTTCCAAAAACATCAGAACAGATGTGTTCCCGTCTTCTTCTGATCATAATGACTTTTGATCTGAGTCATGGGCTACGTTCACACTGCAGGTCTTAATGCTCAGTTCCGATTTTTTGAAAAAATCCGATCTTTTTGTGTGAACGTTCACATTACATTTTAAATGTGACCTGCATCAGACCCCTGTGTGAACGCTACACAGCACTTATGTGACACGCACAGTAAAAGACGTGACGTCTCATCAGCCRGCTTGTTTGTTTACAGAGCTAGCATGGACGCTACATTTTGCACATCGAATCTGAAGTTGTTGTTTAATCATAGCCGATKAAATAATTATCTGACATGCTTCTTTAGTTCAGTGTTTATATCTGTAGGGGTCACCTCGAGTGAAGAAACAAGATTTACTGCCTCAAAGCAGGTCTCGGACAGGCCTGACGAGAAGGCAGGAACTCTGTCACAAACTGTTTAGGCCATGACAG